GGCAGCAGCGTTCTGGATCAGCTGCAGCTGTCTGATCCACTTTTTAGGCAGACCTGTGAAAACACCGTTGCAGTAATCAATTCGACTAAAAATAAACGCATGGATTAGTTTTTCCGGATCATGCTGAGACATTAGTCCTTTAATCTTGGAAGTATTGTAAGCAATTTTCGGCCACTAATATATGTATATTTTTAAAATATATGCCCATTGTTGTGCAGATGTGTTTCTATGTGTGGATGCTCTTTGTTAATCTCAAAATGACCATAGTGGCAGTGAAAAGAATGAGACTTGGAGAAACTCTGAAAGCTATATATATATATATATATATATATATATATATATATAATAAACAAAACACTGCCTGTTTTGGCCCCTGATATTTTAGAATCGTCCCTGTGTATGAAAATAAATCATTTATTTATATTTTCCCTGCGAATCCGGCAGATAAAATGAGTGCTAAAATAGTTCATCCCAGCCCCCACCCTTCCTGCTCCAATCCAAACTCATCCTCCAGCTGCACTCAGCCGCCTCCGGGATAGAAAACAACAGGGAAGGATTACCAGGATCGGAGCGCCTCAGCTGACACGTTTGAGTCTCTTTAAACGATTCTCTTTTTATCCAAGTGACACATTCCTTCCTCAAAGCTGTGGTTGTGGGAATCGGGAGTTCGGTATGGGGGAGCACACGGCGTTTCTGCTCTTACTGATGGCGACCTTGACGCTTTCATCTGAGGTGAGCTTAGCGGAGAAACCGCAGCCTGTGGCGGGGTGTTGACGCGCTGTCCCGGGCTCCGATTGGAGCGCAGCGGGCCTGTCTGTGAGGACGCCGCCAGACGCTGTGGCGCATTTAACTAACGGCTAAACCGCAGATTATGTCGGGCCTCCTTACTGTTACGTGGTGCAATGTGGTTTGTTTACGCTTACAAAGAACATCCAGCATAATATTTATATGTATCGACTTCCTGGAGTCCATCTTGATAAGAGGCCTGTTATCATCAGCATAACAGCAGATTTCCTCCGCAGGATAAACAGTCATTTCAGGGACTAGCAGGCCTTTACCGTTAGATGTCAGTGATTGACTCCCCGGTCTTTGTTTACATGTTGAATGACATTTCCTCCACTTTTTTACATCCATTAATGTCGCAACATCAATTACAAATGTTCATTTATTTCCCTAACAGAGTCTGTTACAGGGGTCACGTTAGCTAACGGTTGCTAGCTTTTTTCTGTAAACTTTCCCAGGCTGGGCTAAAAAAACGAGCTTTATAGGTCAGTCTGCATTGTTAAATATTTAGTAAGACGACAAGCACTTCACATTCATTAAGAATGGCCCAGCTATTACTATTGAGGGCATTTCTAGCTATGCTAATGTAGCTGCGGGCTGGGGAAACTGCTAAGGAGAATGGAAATAGGAAGCAGTCCGATTAGTTTCACTAAGCAAGATGGCGCCTGTATCCCATCGGTACCACTGATGCTCAGCTAGACCAGAGATGCTGCTATGCTATCTCACGGTCTTGGTTCTGTAGTTTTCTTTTGAGTAATCAGTTTTACTTTGCTACATGTTTTCTATTTTTTTTTTTTTTGGTTCAATTCCTATTTTGTTGTGTTTTCTGGATATATTTGAGTTCTTATGTTTTAATTATTGCCCTTAAGTGTTGGTCTCCTTTTTCCCTAGCACCTTTTTAGACTCCTCTCTTCACACCTGCTCCCAATCTGCTCGTTAGTCCTCCATTTGTTCACTCTACGATAAATACTCTCCTTGTGCAGCTCCTCATGATTGTTTTGCCCTGATGTCTCCATGGTTGTTTTTTGTTTAACATTTTTTCATGTTGGATTCTTGGATTCCTTCCTCAGTTGTTTGTGAACATTCAATTAAACCTTCAAGAAACTCACCTCTGCCTCCCTGCCTCTGCATTTGGGTCCTCTAATCTCAACCAAATCCTGACATGCTCAAGACAGTACTACAAAGTAATATATTACTAGTGTGAGATTTTAGTCTCCAGTCTGCTTTTAGAGCTTTATTTTTTGATGAAAAAGTGTAATAGTTACTACAAACAACAGACTATCAAAAGCTTTAATGTAATACCCACTTTGGGTGCAGTGTTGTCAGAGTCCAGGTTTTTCAGCCCAAACATCTGTTAAAAAACCTGCTCAA